ACACTGAAGTATGAATTAGTTACTTCAATCACAGTGTTCAACAACATCCAACACTTTTTACGAAATTCACACTTAACACTTAAAAAAATTTAATACTGTCGTTTGGTTTTCGTGGCATTTTCCTTTTTACGCATATCCATACGAAGCCTACGTAATATTAGCTTGTCACTTAATAAACTGTTCTCTTCACTCTCAAGATAGTCTAGTAAGGATTCCAAATGTTTAAGAGGAGCACCATGTGATATTTTCTTACTAGCAGCACTGTCCACCTCTTCCTCATTCTCACTTTCTTCCCGCTCTTCTGGCTGCACCCCCACTGAACTTACAATTTCGTCACTGCTTAACATTTTGAAGCCCGGCTCACACGAGTCACAGTCAAACCACTCTCTTATATTTTCCTCGTTGACTTCTTCACCACAATGAACTTGGTTAGCCAATTTTGTCAATTCTAAGGCTATCTCATTTTCACTGAATCCAGTGAATCCATGGATTTCATCATTTCCATTAGTGATGAATTGATTCTTTTGTTATTTCAAATCACGAACAGTTTGTTCTCCAATACCGTACTGCATTGCTGTTTAACTACACCTCTTTTTCCCAACTGATTGATAATTTCAAGTTTCTGTTGAATACTTAACACAACACGCTTCCTTTTACACCCTGACATTTTGCTAATGCACTTGAAGATCGATATAAGGAGACTAACTGGGGCAGTGTATGGGTCCTTGAAACTTTCCACAAATCCTTGCATTCTTTCACCCCTACCCTAGATCACTGTGTTACCATAACGGGACCAAAAAATGCATGTAGAGCTCAGTTCACACTAGTGCGAAAATAGTGTTATAACTCACCATGTGAAACGAAAGTGAATGAATATTAAACAATATATAAGCCTCAAAAATGCCCCGGTAGCCCTGGTTAAGCCGCAAACCGGTTTATCCACCCCCCCATAATCGAGAGTTGTGTGTATAGTCATAAAATATACATATAAGAGGCAACGTTCACAACTCAGAATATTGCTCATCACTTTTTATACAGGATGCCGGTATCCCCCACACCCTGATCTCGTATTGGGTCTCCTTTCCTGAGGTTAACAACATAAATGCAACATGTAAATGTTCAAGTTTGTGTTGGGTTCACATTTAGAGGAAGAATCATTTTAATTCATGCATCAAACCTGAAACTTACAGCACAGTCATTTTAAATAAAATTCTTTTGACAGATGGCTGGTGTGCTATGTAATTCGATAGTTGAATTGAGAACATTTTTGCACATAATTTAACAAGCAAAGAGCATTTGTCAAAGCTCATGCCAACTTCAGAGTGACAACTGAAATGTGGGTATGATCATCAGTGTTGATGCAAAAGTATGTGACTATGGGCTATTTTAAAATTGACCAATGATTTTAACAGCATGAAAAAGGATTAGCTTCTAATTAATTACGATTATCAACATTGAGAAGTCAAACATCTGCTACTGAACACAAAATACTTTATGTTACATCCCTCTTTGGTTTTGACATTTAGTTTCTGTTAAGTTTTCATAACAGACAGTAGTTTGCACTGGGCAACAACACATTATGGGCAACAAGAGATTTATGGAATTATAAGAACAGTGCCTTAATTTTAGACTATGAACTATGTAAGCAAGGTATGAAGTATCCATAGTCAAGAATACAATGAAGATGGGTGTAGTAAATTCCTCTGAAACCCTTACTTGCCTATAAGACTATAGAGAGTCATAACTCAGATCACAATATGAATAAACTATGTCAGATAAAATAATTAAAATGTTGTAGGCCACGAGCATAAACAGTATTACAACTTTGACTGCTTGTTCAAAAATAATACCATAGCTTTGACAATTAACAATAAATACCAATACAGTTTTTAATACAGCCCTCTCTATTTACCTTCAGATGCTGTTTTTGGTGTTCTGTGAAACATTCATGCCAAGTTCGATGTGAAAAGAATTCCTTGAAAATATTTTTATTCTCACACAGGCCTTGTGGTAGTTGCAGGCGCACACCTTCTATGTGGAATTCTTCTAAACGGGTTGACTCCTGTGACAACTCGGATCCAACTGATGATCCTTCAGAAGACATAGTTGAATATTCCAGCTCCATTTTTGGGCCTGCACACAAAATGGAATCCTGTTTGAATTGTCATCATTTTTGTTCTAATTACACACATAAGTGTGCTGTAAATATAATCCCAGTAAAGTGCTAATTAACCTATCACCTGCATTTGCCGAATCCTGTCGGATTTAATGCAGTTAATTTTACATAAAGTGCACACAGAGGCTCTTACTTAACAATAGTTGGGTGGTACATTTCTAAATCTAAAACATGACCCACCCGGTAGATATACATGCAAAAATATAACTTCGCTCAATAAAAATTCACTCCCTTAAAGTCTGAAGAATCACGGTAGTTATTATTGATATTTCTAAGGCAAAAGAAGACAAATAGACCATGTTTCAAGATAGATTTCGATTGTAAAGGCACTGGGACAGACTTAAAATTGGAGTGGATTCTAATTATTCATATTTGTACCGACCTTAGAGGTGTAGTTTTTAAGTTTTGTCTAATTTCAACGCCCTCCACGTTTGGTATCCGAGGTCTGCAATGCAGATATTATAGAAACCAACAGTGGAGGACATGGCGGACGGAACGGGAACCATATTTGAAACAGTGTCCTCAACACAAATTTTCGCCACAAATTAGAACATTCTCTATTAAAGAATCAATTTCCCTACTTAGGCTTTGCATTGAACGGGAAACCAGGAAAAACGCTAGTTTCGGTGGTGCATCAAGGAAACTGGCAACCGAAACGCAACCACAATTTCTGAGAACTGTTACAAGCCTAAGTTGAATACATGCTACTGGATGGAGCAGGGCAAAGTGAGGAAACTGAGTTGCCAGTTCCTCAATTTGTGCTGCCCCATTCAGTAACAAGCGCTCAATTCAGGCTGATAACAGTTCTCCGAAATTGTGGTTGCGTTTCGGTTGCCGGTTTCCTTCGTGTGCCCTTATCCTAAACGTTGCGTAAAACTATTTACACTTCTAATCAGGTGAGGAAGTAGTAGACGTCTACCTAGTTCGGGAGCGTTTTTAGCTCAATTTCCTAAAGTAGGTTTATACGATCTCCATGATGTCTTTATCTATGAATCCCCCTTTGTTAACTTTTGAATACCTGAACCAAGTTTTATGAAACTTGCTATGTACATCTTTGCACTTTATCCCACCTCAATGGCACACTTCATAAATTTCTTCCATCAGTCTGTGTCTGTATGTGCAGCCCCCCCTTCTTGTTGCTAGGCAACGACTCGGTACAAAACGTTAGCACTGGCTGTGTTGTTACCAAAGGATACCGCGGTTGCTACGCAGCAATAAACAGCTCTCGACAGCGTTGCTAGCAACACCTGTAAACACGGCGTCAGGCAACAGCGGTACCTATCACGTAACTGTTTTCTGTGTTGTCCGTGCCGAGGCTAAATAAGGAGGAGCGAACACTATTCAGTAGTTAGTGAGTAGTGAGTGATTAGTAGTGAGGACTGAGCCAGTTACGAGTGAGTGAGTTACTAGAGAGAGACGGTAACCAGCCAGTTACAGTCTAGCACTCTTCGGAGTGAATGGAAACAAGAGAAGTATTTGTAATACTGCCGATGGCAGTAATTGCAAGATTGTAAATTGAGTGATTGTAAGAGCGAATGTGCAATAAATTCGATATATTTAATACGGCGTGAAGTTACTTGTCGCGTCACTACAACAACATGTTACAATATACATTTGTCATTCTCCCAACTTTTAAGCTGGTCTGAAACGTCCATATAGACCTGAGAACCCTTTTCACGCATGATACTGATTTATTATAACACATGAATTAAGGAGAGTGTTATTTTCTATCGGCAAGCGCAGCTTAGGACATATGCAAACAGCTGATCGTACCTTCAAAACTTTAAAGAGGTCAAGAATTGCGTGTCATTTCAGCGCATACTTCAACCGTCAGCCTAAAACTGAATGCGAATGTTCTGGCAAACATACTCTCAGGAAAGAAAGCGCTATATTTTATTCGTATTTCTGTGAAATTTATAACACACCGAATTTGTGGTTCTCGCGGTGATGACTACAAAGAATACTGTCACGTTTTGGGTATGGCACGCGACAAATAACTTTACGTGGGTCTCGGATTTAGCGAATCTTTATGGGACTCTCACACTTACACACCTTACAACTATCACCACTTGCAGTGTCACTTGACTTCCTTCGGGGTCCACCAGCTCCCTGAGTAAAATTCTACTTCACGATGTCTCACTTGAGTCGTGCCACTGTTGCGCGACGGGACATCCTCTTGTCGGTTTGTGTTTTTTGTGCCAATTTCGCACGGCGTATTGTCTTTCTGCCGGCGACAGCCAATTTCTTCTGGGGTCTACAATTTTCCCGTGTTGAATTTTTCGGTTTCTGGTGGCGGCGCTCCGCAGCCAGTTTTCGGTCCCCACGCATTTTCTTCTTCGGTTCTCCGACCGGCATTACTTCGGAGTCTTCTGCGGGGACCTCTCGTCGTTCTGCCTCCTCAGGTTTCCTGTCCAGTGAGGTCGATTTTCTCTCTTCTTGACGCGCCTCCATCTCTTGGCAGGCCAACGTCACATCGTGGTTGTCGTTCACCCATTTGTCTCTCATGGCGGCCATCCCTTCTCGCCATGCTTTCATATTGGCCTATCTGTCGTATTCTAGTTTGGCCAGTAGTTCTCTGTGGCCGGTCATCATTTGTTCTTGGCCCACTAACAGACGTTCCATCATCTGTTGTATGTCCATTCTTCCGCGCGGTATTTTCGTGTTTTAAGTTCGATCCTGCCGGTCACGTGTGTAAGTCCAATCTCTTAAATTTGTCTTAGAATCCGAACTGATCCAGCTTCTAACACCAGTTGTCACGTGCTGGGTATGGAACGCGACAAATAACTTTACGTGGGTCTCGGATTTAGCGAATCTTTATTGGACTCTCACGCTTACACACCTTACAATTATCACCACTTGCAGTGTCACTTGACTTCTGGCCCAATACTCCAATGCGACGTCTCAACTACGTGTATTTCTGGCAGCGAATATTCCAAGACTGTCTTCTTGCTGTCTTCTTCTATATTGTATGGCGTCTAGGTTCCAACTTGGCAAATGCCTTCAACCCTTTTTATAACCTAGGCCGCTGCTATGCAGTGAACCCTCGTTATAACCGTGGAGACTCATCTCCGGGGAGATTCGCCTTTCCATGGAAGTAACTCTACTGGATTCCAAACATGTGACAATACTATCTTCTGAGATCTGACACCGCGTAATCTAGTAAACATTTACAGAGGTTTCCAAGGAAAGAACTGTATCCATCGTCAGGGTGGAGGAGTAAACCAAGCAAACCAACAAGAAACGAACGGCAAACAGAACCTACAACCTACCCACAGGGGATAAATATGCTGGATTTCAAGTCCTCAATGCGGTGAATATAAAGGACACAATATTCTGCTGGGATGTGACACCGTATTATCTGGCGCAAGTTAGCCGACATTTCGGAAAAACACATTTCCATTATTTTTAGAGTTGAGAAGTAAGCCTCCTAAACCGCATTAAAATTTATACCAGACTACAGGGCGTCACACCCAGACGCTTGGACACTGCACAAAGAGAAGTTTGGCATGTTGATGTTGGTGTTAGAATGGCAGCCGCAAAATGTTTCCCGTCGTTCCTTGTCTAATTGTTCCTTGTTCCATTTCAGGTAGTTTCAAAATGGCATTGAGTACAAGTGTGAAAGTACATCCTGTAGTCTTGTTTCAAATAGTCGATGCTTATGAAAGAAGAAATGCAGACGCTCATCGAGTTATCGGAACATTGTTAGGTAATTTATATTAAAATGCGAGCATGAATCTTTATAAATATTATTGTAAACTTCAGTCCATATGTCGAGGGAATATTTCAGCGAAGCGAGGTTATAGGATTATTATGCACGTGGCAAACGGTCACGTATAATAAATACATATGCTTTTGTGATTGTAGGTACAGTTGATAAAGGTTTTGTCGAAGTTACGAACTGCTTTTGTGTACCACATAAGGAATATGAAGATCAGGTGGGTACCGGTTGTCGTGTTTACGTAGTCATAGACACGATTTGGTTTGTTCTATGACAGTAAGAGCCGCATACTAACTATTCCACAGTGTGTATACAACTGTGTTGTCTGATATTAGGTGGAAGCTGAGCTGAATTATGCAATGGATTTATATGATCTCAATCGGAGGGTAAATACCCAGGAAGCAATTGTTGGATGGTGGGCGACGGGTAACGAAGTTACAAGTCATTCGTCCGTTATTCATGAGTATTATGCTCGTGAGTGTAACAATCCTATCCATCTGACACTGGATACAACCCTTCAGGGCAATCACATGGGTATAAGAGCTTATGTAAAGTAAGTAGAATGATTTGGTCTTCTGCTTGAAACAGGATACACCACTTGCATTCAGAGAACAGTAGTACTGTAACTGTAGATTCAGGTTGAAATTAATAGTTAATACTCTGTGATGTTAAGAAAAGAGAGGTAAGTTACTAAACATGGCTTTTTAGGAGAAGAGGGAATGACTTTAAATGTTTGTGCAGTTATGTATTTAACTCTGTATTTCACAGTGTCACTGAATAAAAAGTATTATGCTTAGAGTCTTATCCTCATAGTGATTTGATCCTCTTAATAAGGATAATATGATCCTATTATCTCATTTTGACCAGTTTTTGACTTAACTCTCTTTTCTTTAATTTTGGAGAAGTGAAGTAGAAACTAAGTGGGGATGCGATATAAAAAGTATTGTGAAACTGCAGAATAGATTGCATCTGTAAGTGATTATACTGTGTGACTGCAATTGAGAACTGAATAACAACATTGTTCTTATGAAACTGGGGACTGGACAACATTCCATAATGAAAGAACTGACACCTTAGGAACAAAAAGCCAAGAGTGAAGAAATGTTATGTGCAGAGCATTATGCAGATGGAGAACAAATGGCTACCTGGGGTAGATCCCACAGTCTCCTTTCTTTTCTTTTTTTAATTTTTGAGTGAACATAATTTGTGATGTGCTTTATATTGCAGTCATAACCATGAATGGATGGTAGCCTAAACACGTTATGCAGCAATGTAATCAAACAGTTTTATAAATGATGTCACTTGTGAAAATTCTTGTCACAGCATCCAGATTCAAAGATACAGGCAGAGACCAGGATAAGATAAATATTTTGAAAACAGTTTAGGGTACTCATGAATTTTTAAGCCTTTAAGTTGTCATTTCCTATGGATAGTGGCATATCCAGCCATTGAAGTAACTGATTGTGGTTGTTAATTTGGAGCTACTTACTTACCGATCTGCTTGTTTGTTGCTTAATCGAGTTGAGGGTGGGAGTATGTCATAAGGTCATTGTTATATATTTCAGTGTTCCAATTGGTGTTCCTGGAGGCAAGTCTGGATGCATGTTCACACCAGTCAGTGTGGAAGTTACATGCTATGAACCAGAGGTTGTGGGAGGTATGTTGATATACAGTTAAATAGATTTGAATCTTGCATGGTGACTTTGCAGTGAAGTTTTCTGAGATTATCTTTGTGAAATCCAGTTTTTGGAAGACCATCTCTTTCTCCACCTCTATCATTAGGGACTGAGGTGGTGAGTGATGTGTTTTGATTTATGTGTTCTGTTAAGTTGGAAGTGTGTGTTGCAGTACAACTCTGTCAGAAGACCATGACACTCGGCAAGAAGACAGTTGAGCCCATGCTCGATCTTGCCCAGGTAGCTGAAGCGTCCCAGAAGCTGACAGGTCTGCTTGATAGTGTTTTGGCATATGTGGAGGATGTATTAGCAGGCCGTACCCAGCCCGATAATGCTGTGGGTCGAGCTCTTCTTGATATGGTCAACAGTGTTCCCAAGATGACACCAGAGGAGTTTGAAAATATGTTCAACTCTAATATTAAGGTGGTTTATATGACAGCTTATAGTACATGAATATGCAGTGATCTTTAGGAAGGGTATACTGGCATGGCATAATCCAAATTTATTAACACATATTGAGGTAGTTGGTATCTTCTAACATTCTCTGGGCTTTTCACTTCATTGTAATACAGTCTGCAATATTTATTATTGAACTTCTGTCATCTGGGAGTAAGGGATTTTAAATTCCCCTGTATTTTGAAGCTTGAATTTGGATATAAGAGTGTTGGTGCTGAGAAAATGAAATACTTGTCCAGATGGATTGTACACAGTAGTACAGGGCAGCCCAGTATTTACAGTAGCATGACATTGAGTCTGTCAGATTCTGTTAATATTTTTAGTGTTCATTTTGCAGTATGTCAGTGTATTTTATAGAGTAATGTATCATGTGAAATATACTCTTGTATGTAGAAGAACATGTATGTACTCTTAACTGTAATAGTTCTCGGAACAGTGATGTAACTTTATCACTTAAAATTTCCTTTGATCTTCAAGGTAGTAAGGAAATTTCCTCTTTCATGATGTCAGATTTTGTTCAGCCACTAACTTCTGCCAAAAAATCAATGAACTACAAACTTTGAAATTTGCAGTAGTGTTGAAAGAAGTTTCTTGTCTTTCCATAGGCTTGTGCTGAAGCACTGGAAACAGGAATTTGCCTTCCCCTCTTGAACATGTTAATTATGGGAGAAAGAGGTTCTAGTTGTCACAGAGTGACAGCATGCTAGAAAATTGCAGTTTCAGAAGTTTGTCTTGCAGGAAGCTGGAATTAATTATATATTTATTCTCTGTTTTCGCAGGATCTGTTGATGGTGATAACGCTGTCCCAACTAGTGAAGACGCAACTCCAGTTGAATGAGAAGCTGACACTTTTGACCACACTGTAATCAGTTTATGAATTTGTAAATCATACAGACCACTATATGAGAATTCAATAAATTTATATATCTCCATGTCTCATTGATTTGGCACATCATTCTCCAATTTATGCTCTGGAAACTGGCACCCAATCCTCTGTAAAAAAATTAACATGTTTCATGAATGTTTCAGAAAAAAGTAATTAGGCAACCAAAGACCAAAATTTAAAATTGTGTTATCTAGGTAGCTGGGCCAGTGTGCTGACTGGCTATGAAATGGATGACCAGGATTTCGTTTCTATCAAGAATAGGTTTTTGTTTTCTTTGGTATTGCATTCATCTGGCTGAAGGTTCCACGTAGCCTCCAGCTTGTTGGGTACCACAGACGCGTTCCCTGCTGGTAAAGTGACTACATATGCTCATCCTTGATTTTGAACTGAGGTTGAGAATGCGTGGACCCCTACTGCCACTCCCTCCTATATCATATGGCATAGTGATAAGTTGTATGAGTGATGCAGATTAAAAGGTCTGAATTATTTAAGAAGATTGTTGTCCAATGTTAATTCTGTTCTTGTGTTACTGTATTGTGGGGTTGTGGGTTATGTTGCTGATGTGTACGATTTGACCATGAAGTTGGAAGCAGCATTTCCCAAAAGCACATGTTGTAACAACATGCGAATGGAATTAACACAAGTAATTAACTGCCATGAAAGCATGAAATCAGTAAGATTATTTGCTGTTCAGTTATACTTTTCAACAAATGTTGCCTATCCTTGAAACTGGGAAGGTTTGGAAATTGTCATAAATCATTTGGATGGCACATTGCTTTTATTTTGAATAAATGTTTTCCTTTTTCTTGTTGTACAAGGTTCAGTCATACTTTTCAACAAATGTTGCCTATTCTTGAACCTGGAAAGGTTTGGAAATTGTTGTAAAGCGTCTGCATAGCACGGTGCTTTCATTTTGAATAAATGTATTCCTTTTTTGTTGTTGTACAAGGCGTGAAATGTCAAAACCTTTTGATTATCTAGAAAACAGGCCATTCTATTTATAGAACTAAGAACATACAGTAGTTTACAACCAGATGCACATAATGAAGATGGACAGGTTCATGTCCCTGCATGTTTGCAACCAAATGGAGAGACTGCACACCCTCCACAGTGATGTGGGCAGTGGGTTGATGGGGACTGACTGCCACGAGTTTCTGTTTGAGCATAGATGTTAGATTAACCAAAATTATGTTCACCATCTTGCTGTTTGTGTAAGTCCACAATACAAAATTTCATCATTAGTTTTGTAGTTCTCAGTGATGAACACAGATTAGTAATTCTCCATTAGTAATTTCCCCATTACAGGTTCTTTATATGACATTCATACATAAGACTGATAATATAAAATAAGAAAATAAGTTTAATAGTAAAAGTGTAACGTGTGTGTTTAAAATAAATGTAATAAATGAAGGGAATCGTTTTTCATTTCATTTTGTAATGTGGCATGGGGTTAAACTCATGTCCATTTGTGGACTGTGTATTGATTTACGAGTATTTCTACTTTTCCTCCTGCAGCTCTTAATTGATTCGTATATTAGATAGGTCATTCAAACCCAAAGACTGTATTGTAGCTAAAAAAATTATGCAAGAGATTGGGTGAAAGATGGCAGCACATATGTCAGCCGGCTTTCGGGAAGCTTTCGTAATTTATAATTTACACAATAGATGTTGTTGCGATCACCTTCAGCTTCCGTCATACGAAAGATTGCATGATTAGTTACGGCGTGCAGTGGAATTGTGGGTACACGTGTGGGTTACTTCTGTGCGAATTTGAAACTAAACATTATGTGTGAAAATTAAATTATAATTGTGTCGTGGTTTAAGACGTGTTTTCTGTGTAATAAGCGTCAGTGTGTGCATATAACTTCTAGAATCTGCTACGCCGTTGGCGGATACTCAGGTATGAACATTAGCAATCTGTCTCACGCTACTATTAACTATGTCTCAGACACACGTAGATACTCATTTATATGCTTTGTTTCCGCGTTATTTCACATTAGTAAACATTTACGTTGAAGAATCACAGTATTACAAATTAAGAAGTGGAAGCTCACGATAAAAATGTCAGAAATCCTGGCCAATTTAAGTTTCAGTGCGGCGTAATTTGACGGCTTAGCTTGAAGATGCAACTGACGAGGTTTGCCAGTAATAGACCGATAAACTGGCTCAGAATGTTTCTTTCGGAAGCAGTTTTGTTTTGTGTTTAATAACCGTGTTCCGAGTTTTGAAACTGTACTGTTTCCATAGGCCCGTGATTAGATTTCTCGATGCCAGAAAAATAAAGATTAGACATCTATGCGTGTATTCTAGAAAACACATAGAATGTTTACTAAGTAAGAACAAGTTAACTACGTAGGAAGGTATTTGCAAAAAAGAAAGAATTTAATGGGGTAGATCATTGAGTTTTGTGCACGACTTCAAAATGCGGTATCCAGTTACCCTGGTTAAACTGTTGGAAGGTAACCATAAATAAATGTCGAATTTGGCATGAAGGTTGGGGGCTCAGAAAGGAAAAACTGGGCTGGGCATTTACGCAGGTTGTAAGTTAAAACGTATAAGTTGTTCCTGTGCTTAATTAAGGGGCAAGTCTTGAAGATATATATATGGAAGTGGAAGTATAGAACCATGGACTTTTAATCTTGGAACTAGATGGACTTGAGTGATCAGCTTTACGCTACGGCTGCTTTACATTCCGGGAAAGAACTGCACTACCTTTCGAAGATGAGGTTATGTCTGCTTGGACGCTGTGGAGGAGGGATAATTTTCCGTGGGTTATTTAACAACGCTTCCAGCTGGAGAAGACAAAACCTGTGCCTATGTCGAGAAAGGAACCCCAATTATCCGGTCGTCCGGACTATATCTTACTAACTAAACCGTGGGAGCTGTGGTGGAAGCAACCAAAATTTTATTTGTAAAACCCGAGAAAAAGATAGAAGCTGGGAAATCTAAACGTAACTAAAAAAACGTTAGAGTATATCATAAGGAAATGGGGCATGAGACTGTGACTTAGGATAGGGACCAGTGACGGGCTCTTGTGAACGCGGTAATGAACCTTCGGATTGAAAGAAGGCGAGTTGTATCATGGCTGAGCGACTATTAATTTTTGAAGAATGATTTTACCCAGAACAATGGGCAAAGTTTCTAAATTTTATTCGGGAGGTATCTAGTTCGAATTTTGATCGGGACACCTACTGTTCCTCAGTTCCACCAGAGACAGTATCTCGATTATACGACGACCGCATCCTTCCAGATTCTTTCACTTTTATTACACACTAATCGCTGTACCATTCGACTGTACTGACGGCGTTAGAACGCGCGTTACGTTTGTTTTGTGGTCTTTCCCCTCCCGCTTTCCACGTGAAGCATCGGGTCAAGTGCAGGCTTCGCGCTGTTTCCCTCAGAACTGCGGCCATATTCACGATTCGTAACGTTGGGAGAAGATTGAAGAAATTGGCGGTAATTTAATAGAGTATTACCGAGAAGGGACCGCATCTGTGGTCTAGTGGTCAGAGTTCCTGGCTACAGATCCAGATGTTCCGGTTTCGATCCCTGGCACTACCAGATTTTCTCTGAGAATTAGTGGGTCTGGAACGGGATCCACTCAGCCTCGTGAGGATAATTTAGGAGCTATTTCAAGGAAATACCCGCTCCAGTCTAGAAAACCGAGATTAACGGCCGTGGGGATTCGTTGCGCTGACCACGTGGCATCCTCTATCCGCTAAAGTTGGCACTAACTTCGCCGACAAACGGCGGTCGCTCGGTCGGTATAGTTCGCTTGCGGACTGCAGGCCACGGAGTTTTTATTACCAAGAAGAATCGTTTAGAGGTAACTCTCTAGGCTTCTATTCGGTCGGTGCTCGGTTCGAATCTTGGCCGTGACACCGGTTCTCTTGAAGTTTATCGTGGTTTTAATCAGTCATTCCGGACAAATACCGTGACCGCTTCCTTCTAAATCCTTTCAAATATACAGTGTGATTCAGAAAGATGGACACAATTTCAATTGGCTATATTTCCTGAATTATATGTTGCATTCGAATTCTGTAAAGTACATTTGAAAGAGGATGTTGTAAAGTTTCTAATACTACCGCTAGAGTACTCCAGCACCGCATAAGTTGTAAATGAGATGGCTACTATGCAACACAAGATTTTTTGCATTCGTGAGTTCAGTAAAAGTGAGTCTGCGACTGTGGTGCAGCGTGCATTTAACATCCAACCTCCAACGAGGAAGAACATTTATCTTTGGAATAAACAATTTGATGAAACTGGCTCTCTGTGTAAGGGTAAAAGCCCGGGCCGATCGCATGTATCGGAGGAGAACGTGGAGCGCATTCGAGTGAGCTTTGAGCGTAGCCCAATGAAGTCAACCCGTAGTGCTAGTAGAGAACTTGAGACTATCGCAAACAACTGTCTGGCGTGTATTGAGGCGCAGGTTAGTGTACAAACCATACCCCCTACAACTGGTACAGACTCTTCGCGCAAACGATAAGGTAAAGCGTGTAGAATTTTGTGACCGTATGCTCAAAAACATGAAAGATGAATTGTTTCTGCCTCGTGTAATTCTTAGCGATGAAGCTACGTTTCACCTAAGTGCGAAAGTCAACAGGCACAATGTTCGCATATGGGGGCTACAAAATCCCCGTGTAACACTCGAACATGTGAGGAACAGCCCGAAAGTTAACGTGTTCTGTGCAATATCGTGAGCAAAGGTTTATGGACCTTTCTTTTTTGACGAAAACACGGTTACTGGAGTAACGTATCTTAGAATGCTGCAAAACTGGCTTGTTCCTCAAATGAATGACGATTCAGGAGATCACATTTTCCAGCAGGACGGAGCTCCACCCCATTGGCACCTGAATGTTCGACGTTTCCTGAATGAATCTCTACCTCAAAGATGGATAGGTCGCATGGGGAACGAAGACCTGGCACTTCAGTTCTGGCCTCCGAGGTCTCCTGATCTCACACCCTGCGACTTTTTCCTGTGGGGATTCGTGAAAGATGCAGTTTACGTACCACCTCTTCCCACAAATTTGAATGACCTAAGAAACCGTATCACAGCTGCGGTGAACTCAGCGATGCAAGATATTTGTCATCAAGTGTGGATGAATTCAGCTACCGTCTAGATGTTATCCGTGCAGCGGGAGGGGGGCACATTGAACATCTATAAACTTCCATGTATGTATAATCAAATGTAATTTACATAATTCAAATGCAGCATATAATTCAGGAAATATAGCCAATTGAAATTGTGTCCATCTTTCTGAATCGCCCTCAATCTGAAACATTAAGCATATGAGAGTTGGTGAATATTTGACCGGGAATTACGAAGACACTTCAGGTTTCCAAGGTGTCTTTGATTTAGTGACCATCGAACTGCATTGCTAGATGTCTGATTGACTAACCAAGCAGCTAGACAACTAGCAAACCAACGAAGTAACAGATTGACACACTACCTAACTGGCCAGCTAGTCTACATATCAAATAAGCCAACGACTCAACTGTCTGACTAACTAGCAAGTCCTTGGAATAGCTCAGGCGGTTAGTCGCTGGCTTCCCACCGCAGCGGCCCGGGTTCGAGCCCAGGTCAGGTCATGTGGGATTTGTGGTGGACAAAGTGGCGCTGGGGCAGGTTTCCTCCGAGTACTCCGGTTTCTTCTTCCAATTCCCATTCCACCGACTGCTCCACATTTCATCATTATCCACCATCCGGGGCTGGTAGACTAGGCCAGTTAGTGGCCGACGTACCAAGTGGGCTCAGTCTCACCTCACCTAAAGAAACTAAGGGAAGACTAGAAACTAACCACCTAAGCAATAAACAAACTGACTGACCACCAACTAACCAAGGAAGTAACAAAATCAGCCAACTAACTAACGAACCGAGTGATATCATACAAAGTCTTCATTTACAGTTGGACCGTGACTCAGCAGGTGTAGCAAGTTCGTGCCTTACAGACAAAAGCGTGCGAGTGGTACATGTCAGTAGCCGAGACGTGTGTGACCTACAAATGTGTAGCGGTGGGCACCTGTCACGTGGCGTCTGGCTGGATTACGATTCGTAGTGATTATCCGTCTCTCTCTGCCGTATCTTGTTCGCCTTATCTGTGCTTTATCTCTATTTGCTTCGTCCCTGCAGGCAGTCCCCAGGGCCCTCTGTGTTTTTTTGCTGATTGAGTGGTCGGCGCTGAGAGGAATGGGTTAGAAATGCAGCTTGGCTCCGGGCTCCTCGCCTGTGCCGGGCTGTTGGCCTGTTGTGGCAGGGGGTGGAGGAGGGGGTGCAGTGGCGAACTGGACGCGTGCCAGGCTTAATCCTTTCAGACTGCGAATGTGCAATTATGCGCGTCAGGGTATTGACGAAGGATAAGTGAATGCGAAAGATGAGAAAGTGGAATATGAAACGAAGAGGCAGAAGAAGGAAAGGAAAAAAAAACAGGAGAGGAGATGGTGGAAGAAGAAGATTAGATGGAAGAAGAGGAGGTGGAAGAGAAGAGGAAGATAATATGCAGGAACAAGGGAAAGAGAACTGACGAAACAGGAAGAGAAAACGGATGAAGGAGGAGGCTGTAGTGGAGAAAAAGAATAAGGCATCTTCGTGAGGCCATGGGTCTGAAAGAGTTAAAAGGAATTACACGTGGTGTGCATAGAACCTGCGTAGCTCAGTCAGCATGGGGATTAGACTAGGGGCTGGACGACTGAGGAATCGGGGATCGATTTCCGGCAGGAGGGAGAGATATTTGTTTTCTGTTCTCCACAGCAACCAGACCAGCTCAGGGGCTCAGTCAGGCTTGTGTACAATGGGGCCCGGGGGGGGGGGCTCCTTCCCTCGGGGCAAAGGGCTGGAGCGAGATGTCCACTCACATCTGGAGCCAAGGTTAAGAACGTCTGAAGCTATTTTCCACTCCTCTA